ATGGTTTGTTAACGTTGACAGTATTTATTTTTGTTCTTCTCTTTACTTCTTGTTTTTGTTCCAACCTCAAAGTAAAAGTGCACTTCCATTGGTACTGAGATTGATACTCACAATAAATATTAAGGTAAATTACACTTTACCATCTCAAGTTTTGGTCGATTTCAATTCCTTACAACATCTTTAAAATATTTCACTTTCATACCTTAAGCACTATTTTATTTCAATATAATACATCCGTTACATTTTCCATCCATTGATTCGTTAAGAGCTGACGTGACTGCCACATTTGTGCCACGTGGCTGCCAAATGTGTGCCACGTGGCAATTTTTTTTTTTTTTAAAAAACTTGAATCTTCTCAAAAAAATTAAAAAAAAATTAAAAAAAAAAGAAAGAAAGAAAGAAAAGAAAACTCAGAACCCACCCCTACCCCCACCTCCCTCGCAACCCCTCCACACCCTTATTCTCCATCCCTCTTATCTCCTCTGCAACTCGCACCCACCTTCTTCCTCTCTCTGCAACTCCAGGGCCTCCAATCCACCTTCATCGGCGCCGAGCCCAGCCTCTACCTTGAGCTCTGCTCGGCACCCACTCACCGTTCTCCCCCATCCGAACCCTGCTCCCCTAACCTGCACTCGTAGCCCCACCGTTCGTGACCCAACCAGGATGTTCTCGATCAATGCGGCCAAGTTGACTCGGACCTCCATGGAGGGGTGTTGCACAAGATGAGACAGGTAGGCGACCCAGTCCGGATCCGACGCCACCACAGCGCAGTCAAACTCAGGGAGTGGGAATAGAACGAGAAGCGCAAGCGCCTCGTGAGTCAACTCGGACGATTCGAAATTGGTATCGGAGAACACGAGCTCATGGAGAATTTCGCGGGAGTTTTGAGTGGGTGGAGTAGGGGGTTGCGGGGGAGGTGGAGGTGGAGATGGAGATGGGGTGGGGTTGGATGGGGTGGATTTTTGGATGGGAGGGGAGGTGAAGAGAGTGGAGGAGAGGGAGGTGGTTGGGATGAGAAGGAGGGAGAAGAGGGGTGCGGAGGGGTTGCGGGGGAGGTGGGGGTGGGTTTTGCGTTTTCTGTATTTATTTTTTATTTTTAGAAGATTCAAGTCTTTTTAAAAAAAAATTAAAAAAATATTTTTTTACCACGTGGCACACATTTGGCTGTCATGTCAGCTGTTAACAGATCTATGGATAGAAAATGTAACAGATGTATTATATTGAAATAAAATAGTACTTGAGGTATGAAAGTGAAATGTTTTAAAGATGTTGTAAGGAATTGAAATCGACTCCAAACTTGAGGTGGTAAAGTGTAATTTACCCTAAATATTATGACGTCAAATTTTTGTATGCACATGACTGCTTTAGTAAGTTACCAGCTCTACATTTTTCTTTTATAATTTGGAAGACTGCTTCTTTTCCAAATGATGAGGCGTTTTGCTGAGCTCTCAAATCATCCTTTTTTTTTCGAATAATTTTCAAGTTAATTATAGGATGGTGCTATTCATACACTAGTGTTTCATCTTTCACATACACCTTTTAATTATCGACTATCGGATCGAATAAATTGAAGATGATCAAATGATATAAATTAACTGGAGGAGTGTACAAGGTAAAAAAGGTGTGTGAATAACATCACCCTAATTATATACCAAAATCCTATAACAGGTTTAGTCAAATGCAGTTGTATGGCAATTGTTTTTAAATTTGAGAAAATGCCACTAATTTATGAAGAAACAGTTCCCCAAAATTTATGAAAAAACAGTTGCCGATGTCTGGATTTTCAAATAAGGGAGTCATAATATCAACCAAAAAAGCTTCATTGAGCCATTTCGTCGAACACCCAGTAGGTACCTGTTAATTCTTACCAACATATGCTCAAAGCTTATGCCGACAACTACTATTATTTGTAGAGGCTTGTTGATGGTGGATGCAGGATACTATGGAGTATTATTGAAGACTGCCAAGACTTATCAACTAAGGTATATCATCGAGCACATGGTGCTCACAATAGAATCGCACACAAGAAGGAGAAAAGGAAGACAAATATGATAGAAGAAAATAGAATAAGTAGAAGGCGGAGACTGTAATTTAGTGTGTCTTAGCTATTTATAGTGGTTAAATACAATACACAAACAAATATACATGGGTTTTTGAAGTTTTTGGTGTCAAGGACAACCAATGACCCCATGCTGGCTCCGCCATTACGGTGTCACCAAACTTCAACTTATTTACAATATTACCACCGTACTCTAAATTCAATATTATTACGATAATGCCACTGCTTTCTTGTTTTTATCCTTATTATTAAAAGTTCACTAAGTGTTTTCATTAAAAATTTGTTGTATGAAGCCTATTTCATTAAAAGGTCAGAATAACTATATTAAATTTGGGGCACTGTGGGAGTATCATAATGCAGTCGAAGGACAAAATTTTAAGAAGAGAATAAGCATCGAGGAGGGGAGGAGATTCTTGCATCCCAAAGTTAAAGATGCATTTTGTGAGAGAGCAAGATAGCTTTCGGCAGAGCCTAGTTTTTAAGGAAAACTAATGAAAAATGTTTGAAAACTTTGAGTTTTAACGATAAGGAGAAAATAAAGGATAAAGTGAATAGTACCAGGATTGATTTTTTAGTGTAAAAATGTGGTTTTTCGTTAAAGTGAATAGTACCAGGAGTTTTTCGCTAAAGTTCCCTAATTTTTATTTAGAATTGCAATAAGAAAAACCCTCTCATCTTCTTAGAGAGAGACATTTTTGTATTACGTGAAAATTCTACGAGTGAATCAATTTCTTATCTTTGATGCCTCTGCATTTCTGCATTGATCATATTGTATGAGACTGTTTTTCCACGCTTATCAATCTACACTACATTTTATAAATCTGCTCATGAATTGTTGACTCCATTCATCTTACCTCATATAGTTTATTTGATTAGAGCTACATTGTTTATGTAAGTGACACAAATCTACTTCATGCAATCATATATATTTAGTGTGTAGGTTCTTTTAACTTAATTGGATTGATGTGCTAATCTGAGAATAGTAAGTAGATTTGAAAGAACAAGCTTGGTTGAAGATAAACGAAGGTATCTGCCTTCTTCTGCAAGAAAGAGTCGAAAATTGCACTGCAAAAGAGAGCAGAGCTTCACAGGTACTAGTTGCCACTTCGGAGTAGCATCACCACCTCATTTTATGTCTTTCATGTATCATGCATCAATGTACAAGGAAAATGCTATAGAGACTACATTTTTGTACATTCATATACCATATGATGCACTTGCCACATCAATTAATGAATTTATTTCATTGGATGGTTGATTGTATACATCATTTGCCACGTAAGATGGTATTCTGAGGCAGCATCATATGTGGTCTTCCTAGCAATATATATATGGAATAAATTGAAGCAAATTACAAAATATAGGGGGTCTGGACGTTGGAATACATTACAAAGTAAGCCTTACAAAAAGGGTGTCAAAATATGTGTCAAAAACATGTGTCCCTGGACCGTAACACCCCCCCCCCCCAACAAACACACACATATATATATATTATTATCAATGCATAATAAGAAATGTAAAAAGATAAAATCTGATATGGCCCCACACACACACACATATATATTATTATCAATGCATAATAAGAAATGTAAAAAGATAAAATCTGATATGGGTGGGATGGGATTGAACTAAGCTATGAAAATGGTTGGAGGCAGCTAATGCCGTGAGGGAAAAGCTTCCCCATCTCAAATTTGGGCTTATGTTTGGAGAAAGTTTTGGAAGGCACCTACCAGTATACCACATATTAGTCTGAATAGTCTCACGTTTTTTTGTATAATTGAGTGTCAAGATTGTCTTGAGATACATCAATCAACTTATGTCAATGTTTACATTAGAATTACAAATCGCGAATCGGTATGAGAAGAAATGAGTGTGAAAGAAAAATAGGTAAAGGATAAACAATTTTTTCTTGGTTATCACTTACCTAATTTTTCATGTATGACAAACCTAAAAAGCGGAAAACATATGACAATATTTTTTTCATGTTTTGATTTTTTTTTTAAACATTGATATTATCTACATTAAGGGATTGTAGATGGGGAGTGGACTAAGTTTTATAATAGGCTAACAATAATATGGTTTAAATTCGTTTTTGGCGAATATCGAATCTAAAACCTCTCACTTATAAGTGAAAATAAATATCACTAAACTATAGTACTACAATTCTTTTTTTTCATTGAAGTTCATTTTTTGTATGTACACTTCTAATAATTTGTAGATTACTGAATATAAATAAAGGAAACAAACTCAAGATCGAACTAAAATGATGAGTTTTGCCCATCTCTAAGATTACATTAGGAAATGTTGAATTATCATTGTATTACGAATTTCACCTTTCTAATCAAAGGATTTTAGGTAAGTGGTCATTTACCATAGTGGTTGAGAAATGTTGAGTCCTTACATGATGACATGAGTTCAAACTTCATCGATGACTAATTTAATAAATCTATCATTTGACAAAAAAAAATAAAAAAAATCAAAGGTTTTCAGAACCCGATCGATAGGAGACTGTTGGTCATACTTGGAATTAAATAATTCTGTCACATGAGCTTTTCCCGCCCGCCACCCTTTTCCAATTTTATTACATGCATTTCAGACTTTGTCAACACTTATCATCTAAAAGTAGGTACATCGATCGTACGGATAATAAGATTTCATGAACGTCAATTAAACTGACTTTGTTGTTAATTTATTATGTTGACCAAATGCCATTCTTGATTTTCATACCAAATATTATTTTTCTTCTTCTTCATCTTTAAATTTGTCAAAGCGAGTAAATATAATTATTTGATTTAGCATCATCCGGTCTTTTACTAGTTAAAAATAATTTTGGATTCAAAACTTATGAACAGTAGTTGATTATGTTTTCCCATTACATTAATGAAAGCAAACAACCTACGTAATTAACATGCAAATAGTCAATTATAACCAACCACAAGCTATCGAATGATTCACCATAAATATGCATCGATCTCTTCCTCATGCCAAATACATCACAAGCAATATTTACAAGGACACAGAAATATATTCATAGAGTGAAGAAATCTGCATTTATTCAAAATAAAACGCGAATATGTCGTCTGAGTGTGAAGGTAACGAACTAGTTCGATTGTACAATTTTATAAATTAACTTATCAGCTTGTTGTTTATTTAGAAGAACTTGTTTAAGCTTATCACGGCGTTGTTTAAACTAATGCAGGTAAGGCTTCATGGCCTGAATTATTGGGGACTCAGGGGACAGTTGCAGAGGCAACAATTGAGAGGGAGAATCCTTTGGTCGACGCCGTGATTGTGCTACAAGGAACAATTGTCACCGATGACTTCCGGTGTGATAGGGTTCGTGTTTGGGTCGACACAGACGGAATTGTTGTCGACGTCCCTGCAATTGGTTAATTCAGAATTCAAGGGCACTTCAGGGGCGACTAGTTCTCTTTTAAAGAAGTGTTTGAAGAAAATTATATGAAATAATGGAATAAGGAGATCTATAAATTCTCCATGGATTTATGCTTTCTTCTCTTCTACGTATTCTACATGAAGCTAAATAAAATGGTTGCAAATTATTTTCTCCTCAGTTCTTATTTTGGAACCCAATCTGAAAAACCATCGGGGAGGCTGAAAAATTCTAATATGATTAGTGTATCCTATAAACCAGAGCATACTAGAAATTAGATTCACCTTCAGAGCACTAAAAGAACAAATATAATAACGCTACTCCACAATTGAACTCTTTTTCTCCAGGAAAAGTAAGTCCTACTAAAAGCAAAGACCATGTTCAAACAAGTTTCTACAAATATAACATGACTGCACATGAGGGGGAATCTAAACAAATACCATATCGTCAATCGTCTGAAACTCGAATATTATAACGGCGTGCCAAACGACGAGCAGTTCCATCAGACATCACGCTATCTACCATTTCATACTTCTTATAATTTGCTTTTAGGGTCTCGTTTTGCATCTTTGCAAGCTTCTCTTCTTCCTCCAGCTGTTTCTTGAGCAAAAAAGCAGCTTCTGCAGTATGCCTTCCATGCAGTTCCTTCAGTTTCTTTGCCACTTCAAAATTAGGATCTTCTGGCTCCAACCAATGACACTCTATCTGTCTTCCAGGCATAGCAGGGCGCTCATCAAACATGTTGGCCACAGCAGGACGTGCCCTCACAGGCCTTGGCATCCCCAAAATCATGAAAGGGAATTCCGCTATCTCCTTGACAATGACACTGGCTTGCTTCGGATTTTCCATCTCGACCAGTGCACAGTGTGGGATGTTCCTTGATTCCAAGTAATTTGGAATGAACTGAACACTTTTCACGTTCCCAAACTGAGAAAGTGCAGTTCTCATAACAGATTCGGTGACCTGGGGTGAGATGTTATCAAGGTAAACAGTTCGTTTGACCTTCTCCTCAAATGCAGCATACTCAGCTTCTGAAGTCCCCATATAATACAATGTGTGGAGATCTAACAAGAAACAAATTTCACAAAGTGAGACCAATTTTACAAATTACGATTTCAATCCAAAACAATTACAAAGTACACTGAGCATTAGGGGTCCAGACTTTTGTCAAATATTATAAACTCCAGGAAAAATACTGACAATATACATGTCCCTTGTGAGAAATCCACAAGGAATTGATGAATATAAACACATTATTATACTCCATTGCACCCAAAAACAAGTCTTGGAAATTGGAATCATGCGCATTACCTTTGAAAATGACTAGTGATGTACAGATTGCATAGACCACAAGATATCCAACCCAAATGGAAAATCAAAACAATCTCGAACATTATGAAGAAATTTCAGATTTGTAAACATCTTTCTCTGAATGTAATAAATGGATTCATGACAAGTATCGTCTTATTGCAAGAAATCTAATCTAATTGCAGATTTAACTAATAATCATCATCCTAAACAATGACACTGATCTACACAAATGCTACCCTCTCCATAGACATGTTGGAAGAAGTGGTAATTACCAATTAAAAAACATTGCTAGTAAAACTGATGTTCTGCTTCAATTCATTTTAAAACTAATGCACCACATGGGTATATCGCTAAAGAATTGCCAACTGCACAATTCCTTGTCCGGATAGGTAAAATGCACACTTCCTACTATAAAATTTTACATTGCTAACAGTTAATTAATCATCTTAAAGGTGTTAAATTCATGGTGTCTAACTGAACCAAACCTATCTAAATCAGGACAGTTTTGTAGTGTTGCATCATAATTCATGTTCAAATAGTCAAGAACATAAACAGAACAGATAAATGTACATTTTCAATTTTTCTTCATCCAAACAATACGGGGCTGAAGATCAATAACTCAGCAAGCAGCAACAACTCAGCAGCAGCAGCAGAAACTTCAAAACCCCTAAATTGAAACAGAATTTAGTACATTTCCTTCTCAGAACAACCCTCTAAAACAGAACTAAAAGCCCCCAAATTGGATTCAGAAAAACCCTAATTTTTCAAACCCTAAATTCGGTTTGAAAACCTCACATTCAACATCTATAACGCACATGCAAACACAAAGTGAAGTTTAAACCTCCAATTTAGAACAAAAATTAAAAATCCTAAATTCGAGTCATAAAACCCTAACTTTATGAAACCCTCCATTCAAAATTCCAAACAATAGCATAGATATTAGAAAGATACACAGAATAATTACCTTAGATTCAGCTTCCAACTCTCTTATATAGCCTTCAGAATTCCGGGTTTGGGGTTTTTATTTTCGAATTTTGGGATTTTTAGCCAGGGAAAGAGGGAATTGTTGGCCAGGAAAAGAGGGATTCTGGTTCAGTGAAGGATTTAGGCGTCGCAGTGGTTCAGGAGCTCGAGGAGAAGGATTGGGGAGGCCGTCGACGGCGAGAGTCGAGAGAGCGCAGGGAGTAACAGAGTGAGGTGTTAAAAACTGAGGAGAGATCCTACGGCCAAGATTTTAATCTGACTAAATAGATATATAACGGTAAAACTACAAAGTAAATATATTTTACCACTTCAACTTTAGAACAGTAGAAATGTCTATGTGAATCTTTCCAATTAGTCAATCCATCATAGTTCACATGAACGCCACGTCATCAGTTAACAGAAAAACTAACGGAAAACTTAACGGAGGTACGAAACTGTCTCAAAATTAAGACTTGAGGTATGACTCTGGAATGAAAAAAACTTCATGTACCAAATGTTAAAAATCACGAAACTTTAGAATAGTAAACAAAGATTAACCCTTATAAATTTGTTGCAAGTCATACATCTATTAGTCAATCCATCAAATACTGAACTATATTTTCTTACACGACAATCAATTGTACCATGCAGATACAAAATATATTATAAAATAAACATTAAAAATCAAATAAATGTTAAAAGTATAAAAAATAAAATAAATATGAAAAAAATATATTATCCTCCCATCAATTGACAGTGCACTTAGAAGTGAGTTCGAAAAATTGAAAACCCTAAAAAACCCTCAGAAGTTGAAGAAATCGAACCACACAAAAAAGCTAACTAAATTATAAAATTCGAACTAACCAAAATCTTTTGGTTAAATTTCATTGGTTTAAAAACCGAACAAATCAAATTATTTTAAAACAATGTCGTTTTACAAGTTTTCTTATAAGATTTTGTGCATAAGGTCAATAGTAAACTTCACAAGGCCCGTGCATAAGCCCAAGACAATAAACTTTTTCATTTATTTTTTCTAAAAGCCCAAATCTAAATACTAACCCATTTATCCTCCAGTTCATACATTCTCTCATTCCTCTAAACCTTGACGCATTATGTTTCTCTACATTTTTAGAGATGCTAACTTTGTGGCTGATACATTTGCTTGTCTGGGCCTTACTGTTTCTGGTAGTCATATTTGGGAGTATTGTATCCCAAGCTTTGCTTCTTCTGTGCTTATCTTTGATTTTGGGAAGTATTATTGACACTTCAAAAATCTCATTCTACACTCCTCACAAGTGTATTTTTCTTTCCTAATATAGAAAGTTTGGAGTGTAGGATGAGATTTTTGGAGTGCTAATAACAATTCCCTTGATTTTATTAGAAACAGTATTCGTGGTTTCTCTTTAATAAATTTTTCTTGCATAAAAAAAATATTTATCTCCATCTATCTTTCCTCTTTTCTCTCTCATCTCCCATATCATCAGTTTCCTGCCTCCACCAACCCAGCCCACCACTCTCCTTCTCTTCTCTTGTTCTAATTCTAAGGTTTGAATCAAAACAAAAACCCCTAAGTCAAACATACATAATATGATAAATTTCCGTTGGAATTTTAGGAGCAAGACACCTCAAAATCTGAGTTTGGTGCAGCGCCAGTGCTTGCATTTTGCGTTGTACCTACTTGTGCTTTCGGCCTTCATACGAATATAGGAAGGATAAACCTGAACTGCCCCATCATTTTAGCTAATTTCTTGATCATAAAACTCTTGTTCGACAGTATTTTTACGAGCTTGAAGTTGGAGATTCGCCATGAAGTTACGACCTTGGCTTTCTTTTCTTCTTCTTTTATAGCATCAAAAGCCACAAAGTTGCAATTAACTTTAATCATTTTTTTTTTTTGTAACTGTCTATTTGTTCGTTTAACTCTGCCGTGTAAGTTTATCTTACATTGCCGGTCCCAAGCCCGGATAAAGGAGGAGGGGGAGGGCGTCAGGTAGTCGACAGCCGGCACTCCATGATCACGTCGAATCCTTATGAAAATGAATCCAGATGGGTGTAGCGGAGATGAGGATGCTTCGTTGGATGTGTGGGCACACGAGAAAGGATAAGATTAGGAATGAGGATATCCGGGGTAAAGTAGGAGTAGCCGAAATTGAAGGAAAGATGAGAGAAAATCGGTTACGGTGGTTTGGACATGTGCAAAGAAGGCCTACTGACGCTCCGATTAGAAGATGCGACTATGGGACAGAGGTTCAGGGCCGAAGGGGCAGAGGAAGACCTAGGAAAACTTTGGAAGAGACCCTAAGAAAAGACTTAGAGTACTTGGATCTAACGGAGGACATGACACAGGACAGAACACAATGGCGTTCTAAGATTCATATAGCCGATCCCACTCAGTGACTTGGATTTTCCAAGTCTCCAACCGAGAAGTTTTCCTCACTCGGGAAATTAAGGGAACACTACCTCAACCTACATGCTCCACTCACAAAGCTTCAACATACAAGCTTCAACAAAAGAAAATTCAAAGAACTTAGCGAAGAAGGCTTTGGTGTATTTAACACAATACGTTGAAATGAAGGAAAGCTTATTTATTGATATCCCCGATAAGTTACAAATATGTACATATACTTGAGTCAAAATAAACAAACAAGAGGGAGCCTTCACAAAGGTTGCTTAGGAGAAGTCTCAGCAGTCGGTAGAGCCCCAGAAAGAGAAAGGCACCGGAGGGGGATCATTCGGAGCCTCAGTACTGGACAAACCCTAGAAGGAGGAGGCATCAGAGGTTGATCATTTGGAGCTTCATTACGCGGTACAGCCCCAGAAGACGAAGGCAATAAATGCCTTTGGAACAAACCCACAAATCTCTGATGATCAAGTAAAACCTGACCATCAGATTCCTTCATCTGGTCAAGCTTCCTCTTCATGTTTGTAGCATAGTCATGTGCGAGCCGGTGCAACTGTTTATTCTCATGCTTGAGCCCTCTAATCTCCTGTTTGAGACTCATCACTTCAGCCGCCAATGATTCAACTTGGCGGGTTCGAGCAAATAGGCGTTGGGCCATATTAGACACAGAACCTGCACACTGAACACTGAGAGCCAGAGAATCCTTAACAGCCAACTCATCAGACCGTTTGGAAAGTAGTCTGTTATCTTTGGGAGTGAGAAGGTTCCTGGCCACTACCGCAGCGGTCATATCATTCTTCATCACGGAATCCCCAACGGTAAGAGGACCAGTAGGGGAGACGAAGGATGGGCGCCATATGTTGTCTGGAGAAGGCGGGGCTGCCTCTTCAACAAGGTTCAAGTCAAAACGACGGTCGGAGGGGCCAGACATTTTCAAAGGTGTTGAAGAGAGAAGAGGTCGGACAAATCAAGATCTTAGAAGTGCAAGAATGGAGCTTCTACTGGTGGATATTCAAGTGTGCTTTGGAACTTAATGTCAGCCCCTATAAAAATCTGCACTCGACGAAGCTTCAGAAATCGAAGAGGCGCCTGCTCAGAAATCGAAGAGGCGTTTGCTTTCTCAAAAGCTGGGCTGCTCAGAGATTCTCAAAAGCTGGGCTGCTCAAAGACCACGAAGGCCGATCTCAGAAATCGAAGAGGCTTGCTTTCTCAAAAGCTGGGCTGCTCAGAGACCACGAGGGCCGATCTCAGAAATCGAAGAGGCACCTACTTTTCCAGCCTTGTCAGCACCTGTCACACGCACACTCAGCTTTGCGGAAATTATGGGCATTCTGTCGAAGATTTCTGGCGAAGTAGAAAGCACATGAATCGTACTGTTCAATCACCCACTTCCCACACGCAACAGTAGCTCATGGGTACCACAGATAACTTTGCCAAAGTTCTCTGACAAAGTTGAGACACGTGAAGCTTGCAGCTCCCACTACATCGCTCTGACCAAGAAGGGTAAAAGAATTGCAAAGAAACAACACTAACAAAGTTTAGACACATAAATTTTGAAGGTCTAGCTACCATATTATTACCCACAAGGGTAAAGGAACAGTACCACTGCTGGATAATTGGAAAGTCCCGGTGTGTCAACCTCTGTGCTTCGTGGCAAGGTAGACTAGCAAACATGCCCAACCTTTACTCACATTCGAGAAAACACTCCCAACAAGATTGCTTGCTCCAAAATCGAAGAGGCACCGCCCTCCGAATCTCGAGAGCCAGACTCCCAACATGATTACTTTCTCAAAAATCGAAGAGAGGGTAAAGGAACAGTACCACTGCTGGATAATTGGAAAGTCCCTGTGTGTCAACCTCTGTGCTTCGTGGCAAGGTAGACTAGCAAACATGCCCAACCTTTACTCACATTCGAGAAAACACTCCCAACAAGATTGCTTGCTCCAAAATCGAAGAGGCACCGCCCTCCGAATCTCGAGAGCCAGACTCCCAACATGATTACTTTCTCAAAAATCGAAGAGACACCGCTCTCCGAATCTCGAGAGCCAGACCCCCAGCAGGATTGCTTTCTCAAAAATCGAAGAGGCATCGTTCTCCGAATCTCGAGAGAGCCAGACCCACGAGCAGGTCTGTAATCTTCACACGCAACATCAGCTTTCCAGATACCACAGACCACTTTTTCAAAGTGCTCTGACAGAGTTAAAACATGTGAAGCTGGCAGCTCCCACTACCGTGCTATGACCAAGCAGGGTAAAGGAATAGCATTATTACTTGATGTTAGGGAGACTCCTATATATGTCGACCTCCATCCCTAACGGACAGGCAGACCTGCAAAAATGCTCAACCCTTTCTCTTATCTGAGAGGGCACTCCCAACGAAGCCTTTCGAAATATTCAGCTTTCTTTCCCCCCGATAATACCTCTGTAAACAAGCTATACTAGAGCAAGAATATCTCATATCATCAGGGTTAAAAGCAAGAGTATCCCATATCATGCTTTTTCCCTGTCTTTTCCTTTGGCCTTGTTCTTACCTGCAAGACAAGGAGAAAGAGAGCAATCAGTCAGCACTTGGAATCAAGCTTCCAGCCAGGAACTGACTGCCTGGAACCCCTTACCTGATTACTTACCTGGCATTGCTCTCGAGTACTCATCTTCAACATCTTATGCTTCCAGGGAAGATACCGCATCTGCCTGAGGAACAGATAGGGCAAGTGAGAAGGATACAAGGAAGCATGTGGAGACAAGCGTAACAGCACACGTGCCGATACATCCACTACTCTGTCAAAAGCAAAAGTATCCCATATCAGCAGGGTCGAACGTACTCTAGATTTGATGGACTTGTTTTGACCCTCAAATTCTTCAGTCGGCCT